GGCTGGAGGTGTGAACCTAGCAAGTAATTGAGCTGGGATACGAATATATAAATCAGGCAGTGTGGCTGACTCAAGAACCCACATTTGTTTGGTTTCTTGAATAAGTGCCCATAGAATTAGCGAGTTGTATCACTTGAAGGCCCTTTAAAATTGTATGATGCTTCATATGCAAATTGATACTTACATAATTGATAGAACTTAGCTTCTTGGTACAAATGGCAAAGTTGAGAAATGGAGTCCAATGGGATTGCTTAGAATCATTCAGAATTTATATCTCTATTACACTAGCTATTAATCTCTTTAGCTAAAATGGGGAAGAACTATTTGGATGTGAGGCTATGTTTTTAATTTGGATATTCAACATTGGTTATTTCAGTAACTTCTCCAGTACCCCAACTATTTTCTGCAAATTAGAAAGAATGACAATTAGATAATTCACCACCATTGGCATCTTTGATGGAAGATAAATGCCTGTATTGATGCCAGGCATGTCTGCTTTTCATTAGTCATTACCATCAGGTACCCTGAGTCACTGTTAGAGAGACTTAATTTCTGGTTGTATCATCTCCTCTGATGCAGTTCTTTTTAAAATGATGTCTCAGACATTAAGTATGCTGTCCCCAAACCACGCTCAGTCTGAGGATCTTGAATTTTCTGCTAGCATGTTTCACCTCCTACTTCTTTCTGAGATAAAAAGGAAAGATGGAAAAGGAAAGCACTCTGTACCATCTTGAATCCTGCCTTCTGGGGCCACGACAGGAAGCAAGTGGGCAGAGGCAGGAAATGTATAAAGCAGACCAAGGCTCAGGCTGTAATTTAATTCATTGATATGGGCATCATTTTGCCCAATCTCAAAGAGCAAATTCCCTCCTGTTTGAGCTCTTGGAAGCTGGATGGAGGCTGGAGTGTAGCTTTAAGTCAGGAGATCAGGAGTGTAACACAGAGCCCCCCACTAACTAGTTGTCTAATCCTTAACAAGTTGCTTTGTCTTTCCAGTCTCATTTTCCTCATCTGTCAAGTCAGATGAAGGTTATGGAATAGATGATCTCTGAAAATCCTTCCAGCTCTACAGTTCTATTCTGGGTCTGTCTGCACCTGCAGTCAGTGATGTGGGGGTAGGAAGGGCACTGGGGAGGGAGGCAATTTCATCAAGAGAATAAAATACTTTCACCTGGAGCAGCCCTGTGTGCTCATGTGCACTGTGCGGTACAGACCCTCAGATTATCCAAATAATTGACTGAGTTCCCTCCTTTCTTTGCCAGTGGACACACAGCTTTAGTTTTTCTGGGAGCAGCAGCTGCTTTTCTGAAATTTCCATCCCAGGGCTTCCGTCCTCCACTGTGTCCTCTCAGAAACCTGTCATGGTTTTTCTGGATGGATGCCCACAGAATTTTAATCCAGTCACACACACACACACACACACACACACACACACACAAGCACGTGCATGTGAACACACACATACACACACACACAAAAGAGAGGAGTAAAGAAAGAAAAAAGGGAAAATTGAAAGGGAGAATAAAAAGTACTATGCATAACAAAAGGTGAAACCAGGTTATGGCATGAGCAGTTCTTATTTAGTTTGGTTACTTCATGGGCTTGGAACCTAAAGGGGCACAGGTTGGCGGCACAGTTTGGCAGTGCAGTGGTACTGCTGACCAGTACTGCTGTGCTGCCAACCTGGAACCATGTCTTCTATTAGTTGACAGGGTTTTCCTAGAAGATGTAGAGGGAAGCCTATATGCTTTAGGGGTCTCCCTGAGTCCTGACCCCGGTCCTAACATCTCCAGACTCTTGGTAAATTCTGCTTAATCAAACTGGATGTTTTCCTAGAGGTCCCCATTTTTTCCCCTTCCCCAATAAGCATTTGTATTTCCAACATGTATGGAGGGTGCCCTTGTCCCCCAACTTTAAAAGGTACAGTTCTCCAACTTTAACTTACAAAAAAATCACCCCAGGAACCAGCTAGAAAAGCAAATTCTTTAATGCTGCTCTCAGGCATTTAACCAGCAAGTAGGAGATCCAGGAAACTGAATTTTACTCACTCCATATCAGCTTGATGCAGAAGGGTGATAGACTCCTAAGAATGTGGCTAGAAGTAAACAGCATTATCAGAAACAAGAATTTCATGTTTCCACTTCTATTTCATGTTGTCTGGTCACAACAGATGAAATTTGCAGTCTAATACTCATAATTCCTGGCATTAACATTAAGATCATTGCTCTGTGCATCTTTGGTACAAAACATGACCAACTGGAAATTTGGAAAACTCAAAGCAAGGGACAGGCTTGTACTTAAAAATAAATAAATAATTTTTAAAAAAAATAAAAAGCCTTGAGGAGCTGGCAAAGAAGCGCATGAGTAGTTTTGAGATCAGACAAAGCAGAATTCAAATTTTGCACTTACTAACCCTGTGATTTGGACAAGTTATTGATCTCTGAGTTTCCATTCTTTTATCTATAAAACTGGGATATGCTACTTCCCGTGGAGGAAGGGACTATGCACCCCAAGTGAGTGCTCAATAAGGAGTTCCAACTTGTAACAATAAGTATGCCACTATTGTCCCTTACAAGGAGGGCAGGGATTTCCAAAACCCAACCTGAAACTTGCGTTTGGGATCTGGCCACATTTTGGTCACCATTGCCCACCATGCTTGAGTAGCGGAGTCCTTCCTGTAGGTCACTGTTAGCTCCCCAGCTGCCTCCTCCCCACAGACCTAAAAGAAGTGGCAAGTTGGGCTATTTTTATTTTTAAAAAAACCGGGCGCCACAGGTGTCCTCGTGGGGATTTTCAGGCAGCAGAGGCCTCCTAGGAAGGGAAACCAGGAGGCCGCAGAGCCGTCCAGCTAGGGACCCAGAGCCACCGGAGGTGGCCCATTTTGATCCAGGCTGTAGCTGGGTCCTACGCAGTCTGCAGGGCTCCTAAGTGGGGGAGGGGAATCCTACATCCTCCTGCGCACCCGACTTGCGTCTGGTGGGTCCCACTTGCACTCCCACCCAGACCCAGTGGCAGGGTAGGGCCCGCGGGCGGGGATTCAGGATTCCCAGCCCCGCCTTCAGGAGCTGCAGGGAACCAGGACCCCCATCCGAGCACTCGAGTCCCCAGTACCCTCACTGGAGACGCGATAATGGGAGCCCAAACCCCGCGGCCGCACTTCGCAACTGCTCAGTCATCTTGGGAGTGAAGCCCTGGGGGCCTCCAGGCGCCAACCCGGGTGTTTGAGCGTTACAGGAAGTAACCGGAAAGTTGGCTGGATTTGTCAAAACCCGTCTTCAGAACGCGGCTGCCGCGGTGACCCTTCCTCTCGGCTCCCACTGGCCTGCGGGGGGGGAGAGCCCGCAACCAAAGGCACTTTCCCTCGGGCCTGGAGCGCAGCGCTGGCGGCGAGGCAGACCGACGGGTCATCAATCCGTGGAGACCTAGGAAACCCGCCGCCCAGTGGAGACCAGCTCCGGATACTCCTCCCGCTGCCCCCAATAATATGAAGTAAAAGCCCCAGGTCTGCCTGCAGGGCCACAGACGCCCTCCAGAACCGGGCTAAGCGTGATTCTCCTAAGGGACTGCGGGCTGGGGGAGGGGGACGCAAACCCCGCTCTGGCCGACCCCTCCCGGCCCCGGGTTTGATGGGGTCCTGAGCGGTGGCGGCGGAGGGAGGGGAGATGGTGGCCGGACGGTGGGGCGGGCGGTGAGCGCCGGAGCCCCTCGGGGCCCGCCACACACACTGGCAGCCCTCCCCGCTCCCTCGCTGCCTCCCACCCGCTCGCCGCGACCCCCGCCCCCAGCCCCCAGCCCCCGCCCCTCCCCCGCCCGCCTCCGCCCCATTCTTGGAATTGTGTGGAAAAATTCTCAGCCAAACCTCCCACCTCTCCTCTCCCCCCCACCCCCTTTTAAAAGCCCCCTTTCCTCCGCGGCCCCTGCACTCTTTGTGAATGAGGGCAGGGAACACGGCCCTTCCCCCGCCCAGGAGCCACGCCAGACCGCCGCACTCAGAGGACTGTTTGTTAATAGTCCAATTAGATAATTGCCATCTTTCACTCCTTTTGCTCCGCATTTCCCATAAAGGAATGAATGGGGAGAGCGGCGTGGAGAGGGCTTCTGCCCCGGCAAGGTGACGAGAAGGGCTGGAGCATGCTCCTTGCACAAGGCCATGCGCTTGAATTGAATCATTGTAGCCTAATCAATGCTCTTATTGGATTACTGGCTGTTGCTTTTCTCAAAGATATTGTAGCAGAGACAATGAAATAGCTAGGGGAAAACTTTTTTTTTTTTTTTTTTGAAGCAGATCTCACAGTTGAGATTTTCCCTGCTCTCTCTCCCTCTCCCCCTCTCTCTCCTGCTGGACTCTCTGAGCACAAAGCTGCCCTTTGAATGGGCTGTCTCAGGGCTGCTGGAGGTGCAGGCATGAAAAAATCCAACTGGAACTAAATGAAGAGAGGTGGCAGTTTAAGATGGCTGTCAGCGTCGAGGTGTGTTAAGGAGTGGCTTGGGGAGACAGCTTGGCTTTTTTGAGTGTGGGGGAGATACTTTTTGGGGAAAACTTTCTCTCCTCCCCCGCTCTCCCCACCCAGAGGCAACTGCTTTCTTCTGCTGCAGGGTGTGTGAGGGGTATTTTCCCTCCCCCCTCCACCCTCATTCAGCGCTATCTGGCGAGTGTGGAGAAAACCCCTCTAGCCAGTATGTGAACAGGAGGGTCAAAGGCAAAGGGAAAGTTAATAATGCCTGCTAATGGTACTAACAATTCAGGATGAATCTTGTCAAAAGTTTTTCTGGAAGTGTAGGTCTTTGATTGTGTGTTTCCTGAAAGCAAGACCAATCATTTCCGTTTATTCACTGGCTAAACCCCTACTTGATTGGGGACAAGGACAGAAACCATCCATTACGATCTGATATATTATCCAAACAATTTAGTGTATTCATGAGGTAACCGAAACGTGGGGGCTGCGAAATTACCCGTAATCAATTGCAGCAGCGAGTGTGCGTCCCCCCGGGTGTCGGACAACTACAACTCGCCGTCTCAGTAACAGGCGGGAGCCGCAGCATTTCGGAGTTGCGCTGTTCGCTACCTGATCGCCAGGCTGGGGACATTGGACGTGCTCAGAAGACGCGGGCGCTGACGAAGCGGCCTCGCCGCGGCTGCACCGGGATCCTGGACCAGACCCGCCGCCTCTCTGGGAGCGCGCCACTCTTCCGTAGCCGCTGACCTGCCGGCGGCCGCCGAAGCCGCCCCGCGGGGACATTCATTCTTGCCGCTTGCCTCTCTCCAGACTGAGCTTAGCGGCTGCGTTGTAGGGGTTTTGTCCCCTTCTGCTTCTTCTTCTTTTTTTTTTCCTTTCTCCTTTTTTTTTTTTTTTTTTCTTCTTTTTTTTTTTTTTTTTTTATTTCTTTTTTTTTTTCCCTCTCTCTGTGCGTTTTGCCTATGTTCGGGAAACCAGACAAAATGGACGTCCGGTGCCACTCGGACACCGAGGCCGCCCGGGTCTCGAAGAACACGCATAAGGAGAGCCGCGAGATCAAGGGCGCGGAGGGGAACATCCCGGCCGCCTTCCTCAAGGAGCCGCAGGGCGCCTTTTCCGCGTCGGGCGCTGCGGAAGATTGTAACAAAAGTAAATCCAATTCCGCAGCGGACCCGGATTACTGCCGCCGGATCCTGGTCCGAGGTAGGGATGGGCCGGGCTGTTGGGCGCGTTCTTTGGGGGCGACTCCAGGCCCCGAGCAGCGCGCCGCCACCGACCACGGCCGGCGGGAGGGGTTGCTGGCTGGGACTTCGTAGAAAGTTGCTGGCCCTCCCTGCCAGGGTGCGGCCGGCCGCTTGGGACTTGAGCTTGGGGCTCACCAGCGCGCTCTCCAGGGGACTCGGAGGGGCCCCGCCGGCCAGGTTGCCGAGAGAGCCGAGGGGCTGAGCGGACGAGGCCGGCCACCAGGCTGCGGCCTCCGACCTGGGAACTCCGGGAGGATGTGAGCGCGCCCTAAGAGCTGGAGGACCTGCAGAGAGCTGGCCTGCAGGCTCCTGCGCCCTAGCAGGCTGAACACACCCCAGGGAGCGCGGGCTTCGGCCGGCCAGTTGGCGCGCTGGGCCGAGGGCCTAGGCGCTGCGCTCCGGGCCTGGCCGCCGTGGCCAGGAAAATCGGCCGAGCTGGGTTGCAGGGCTGCGGTTGTCCACTTAGGGCTTGGTTCGGCCTCACTTGGGGCGCAGCGTGCGCTCAGCCCCGGCAGTGGCGGCGGCGAAGCCCGGCCTCGGGCCGGCGCCGCCCCCGCCAGCAGATAGCCAGGCCCCGCGGGCCGGGATTCCCTCCCTCCTCCTTCCGCCGCCCGAACTCCGGAGGGCCAGAGACCCGGGGTGGGGGTGGGGACCTCTGGAGCTCTGGAGCGCAGGCTGCTCCACAGCCTGATGCCCGCAGGACCTGGGCCGGTCAGTGAAGGCACCCTCAGGCTACAGGGAACCCGGGTCGCGCAGCCGAGGTCCCCTAGGCCAGAAGGAACATCAGTCTATTTGGAATTGATTTTTTCCCCTCCCTTGTCTGGAGGGCTCTATATAGACGAAGTCTGGTCCCTCCTCTTGTCAGTGGTGTGGAGTTAGCTCCTTTGCCCCGCATAAACACACGGTGCCTTTGATTCCCGGCTGTGGCCGCACCCTCACCCCCCTCAGACTACTGGGTACTGTGTCCTCTGGCCAGCTCTGGCTAAGAAGGCGGAAGGAGAGGGGAGGGTTCTTGATGCCTGACATTTCCCCTTCCCCAGATGCCAAGGGGTCCATCCGAGAGATCATCCTGCCCAAAGGCTTGGACCTGGACCGGCCCAAGAGGACACGAACGTCCTTCACGGCGGAGCAGCTCTACCGGCTGGAGATGGAGTTCCAGCGCTGCCAGTATGTGGTGGGCCGCGAGAGAACAGAGCTCGCCCGGCAGCTCAACCTCTCTGAAACCCAGGTACTAGGCAGCCAGGCTGCGCACTGTTCTGCAGCAGGTTCCCTCCCATCCACCCCCCCTCCCCAGCTTGTTCTTTCCCACTACCCAATTTGACTTTGGACAGAACCTCCCAGGGGAAGTAGAGGAGATGGGCCAATGGAGGAGAAAGGGCAGAGGCTTCCTCCCCTTCTACAAGTCGTCCTTTTCCCTCTGCATCCCCAAACCTTGCGCACCTTGGACTGGCCCAGGCAGCACCAAATCTTGTCCTTTAGGAATTCTTATTGGTTCCCAGTCTTAAGAATTTGTTTCTTACTTCTACTCTATAAAGACCGACTTTTTGCCTATTTGGGCACTCCATTATTGGCCCGATTTCCAGTCACTGACCACTTTGTGTCAGGGGCTTTACACCACTCTCAAACCCATTTTGCAGAAAGGTGTGCAACTCCCAGAGACCTGCCTGTGCAAATTTGTCTGCCCTGGCCCTGTGTTTGTTCTGGACACAGTGATGAAAACCACTCTGAACTGCTATGAGGCTCTGCCTGCTGTGCCAGTGGGGTGAGGTATGGGAAGGGTAGCAGATAGATCTAGGGTCGGTCCAGGGAGCTAGCACTGCTGACTGTCTTTAGGTCTTCTTTACATCGAATCCATATGTTGTCCCTGAAGCTGGCCTTGTGAATTCTGGGCCTAGAGTCACTGTAGAGTTGAGAGCTTTGTCCTGCAAAGGCCGTTTTGGGGCTGACCAGGCCATGTTACCAGTTTGACCTACTAAGGCAGTCTTCTTTCTGATGACAAGTCCTTTCCCTATGCTCACCTCTGAAGTAGGTGGGAGCATTTTAGGCCAGGAGTTTTGGAGGAACTCTTGAGGACTGAGGATAGAATAGATGGGATGTTCTTTTAGAGGTTTAATTGGCATCATAATTTATTAATCTAGACAGGGTAGCCTTTCCATATAGCTGCTACATTCTATTCTAGGTAACCACTAGGCCAGAAGAAGGGCAGAAGAAGAGGAAGTGAGCTGGGAGGTTGGGGTAGGGTAGTAGTCTATCTCAGTCTCTGGTCTTCTTCCCATGATTTCAAAGTTCATGATGGAGAGCAACAGGAATGATAGATTAAAAGTAACATGCAGACCTTCCAACTCAGCTGGCAGTGATAAAAAGTGGAGAAAGTTTGGCCTGTAAAATACTTCTTCACCCAAATTATTTCACCTAGAGCCCCTTTTCCTGCTTGCTGTTAGTTCTTGGTCAGTTCTTAACCCAAAAGCAGGCTTTACAGCCTTCAACAAGAGTAGCAGTTCTGGAGCTAAATTTGAGCCTTGGGCCAGGGGCCTGGTCCAGGAAGGCCAAAAACACTCCTCCCCATCCTCCTTGCTTCCCGCTAGCATTGCATGCCTAAGGCCTCACAGCATTTACCTGAAATTCGGGCTCTCAGGCTGAGCTGATTCACATGTCTGTGAGCCCCCAATCCTGCTGGGGGTAGGGCGGCAGCCCAGTGAAATCCCTTCTGGTTGTGAACATTTTTATCACTTTGGTTTTTTTAAACGGCCCCGGCCCGGGCCTGCTTCCGTGACCCGGAAGCGCAGCCCAGCAGAGCTGTGTCCCCCTCGTGGTGGCGCCAGCTTCCCCCGCAGCTCGGGTGCCCGGACCTCTCGGGCTTCGGGGTGGGGCTGTGGCTAGGGCTGGGGCAGGGGGAGGGCCCCAGGAGCCCTCGCGCCCCAGGAGCCCGCTCCCTTTGACGCTCGTCTTCCTTACTCCTCTCTCCCACCCTCTCCGCGTCCCCGCGCGCAGGTGAAGGTCTGGTTCCAGAACCGGCGCACCAAGCAGAAGAAGGACCAGGGCAAGGACTCGGAGCTGCGCTCGGTGGTATCGGAGACCGCGGCCACGTGCAGCGTGCTGCGGCTGCTGGAGCAGGGCCGCCTGCTGTCGCCGCCTGGTCTGCCCGCGCTGCTGCCACCGTGTGCCACGGGCGCTCTCGGGTCTGCGCTGCGCGGGCCTAGCTTACCCGCCCTGGGCGCGGGCGCCGCGGCCAGCTCGGCAGCCGCCGCCGCCGCCGCCGCCCCAGGCCCCGCGAGCGCCACATCTCAGCACCCGCCGGCTGTGGGCGGCGCTCCCGGGCCGGGGCCCGCTGGGCCCGGGGGACTGCACGCGGGAGCGCCGGCCGCCGGCCACGGCCTCTTCAGTCTGCCGGTGCCCTCGCTGCTTGGCTCGGTCGCCAGCCGCCTGTCCTCCGCCCCATTGACAATGGCTGGTTCGCTAGCCGGAAATTTGCAAGAACTCTCCGCCCGATATCTGAGCTCCTCGGCCTTCGAGCCTTACTCCCGGACCAACAATAAAGAAGGGGCCGAGAAAAAAGCGCTGGACTGATTTTAAGTGTTTCCCTGTATTTATATTTATAGTATCTATTGTGGTGATTATTTATGGACTCTAGCGCGTTAGGCGCCCAGGGCTCCTGCGCAGGCCTCCTGGCTCCCACCAGGCCTCTGACAGCTCATCTATCCCACGGGCTCTGCGACCAATTTCATCTCACTTAGGCTATTTTCCCCCTCTACCTTTCCTTCCTGTTCCCGCCCCTCAAACTTCTTTCTGAATCCAGGAGTGATCCAAAGAATTGGGGGAAATGCCCGAATTAGCCAACCAATGCCCCGCCCTGGAGGGAAGAGACAGTCCACGGCACAGGACACCTGGTCTAGATCGGGCCTCCGAGCGAATTATTCCTATGAATATTCGAAAGAGGAATTCTGCACGCAAATGAAGAAGCTTGCAGGTTTCTTAAGACCAAAAAGGAGGACAGCTCCTTCCTCTTGCCAGAGAAATTAGGGCTTTTGGAAGTCCTTGGGCCCCACTTTGCAGACCTCTTTGGATAGTCGGTGCACACTCAGCTTCCTGGCGAGACACATCCCACTGAGTTTTCTCCCCTTTAGGAAAACTCCAATCACGGTCTCCCTTAACCCCAGGAAACAATAAATAGAGCATCATGGTAGGCATGGTGGTAATAAATTTAATCTAATCAGCAATAAAGAGTAATTACTACGTAAAACCAGATGAAGTGGAACCAGTTTTTAAATACTGATAATAATGGCGTTTGGAAGGGGTAAGAAAATTCAGGACAGGAAATGCGCCATGGGGCAATGCAAAATCAAAGTTCCCAGTGTTGTGATTTTAAACAAAAAATTTGGGGCGGGGGAAGCAAAAGAAAAGTAAACGCCGCTAATGAAAGAAAATTTCCAATCTTTTCTCCCAGGCTGTTCGGGGCGGTGGCCGATAGCTTCCCGCTCCTCTGGGAGAGAGCAGTAGCCGGGTCGCCAGCGCTTCGCCCCACCGTCCCCTAGACGCGTGGCTCAGGGCAGAATTGCTGGGTTTGGAAACGAATCAACACCCATTGCCTCCTCTCCCAGATTCTCGGGTTCACAAAACCTTTCAATCCAGGAAACGCCTGGATCTCAGAGCAGATTTTGCGGAAGAGGAGGTAGGGACGCAGCCAGGATCTCCGGGCGGTCTGGCCTCTGTCGCTTGTCTCCTTGTCCAGAAGGCTCCCTGCGTGGCTGAGAGGAAAGGCATCCCCTCCCGCACCCTAACCCCAGGGCTTCAGTGGTCCCAAGTCAGCACCGCGACCGCCAGGCGCTGGCGCGGCCTCACCCCTCGCAGCAGCGACAGTCCCCACAGTCACAGCCACCCGCATTTTAACCAAAATCACAGACCCAGCCCGCGAGTTGCCGCAGTGTCTAGAATGTATTCACCGATCCGAAGCGAACGCAAAACATTTTTAAAATAGTAACTTTATTGTAAATTATTTACGTCGGAAGCTCCCCCCACCATCCTTTTTCTTTCTTTCTTTCTTTCTTCCTTTTCTTTTCCCCCCTTAGGCAAATAGTGGAGAAAATAATGAACGTTTCAAACGCGGGTAGGTGTCACTGAATCCTGGCTACTAACTTTGTTCTGAATGTTTTGGATATTTGGATGTTTTGTATTTATGTGGTGAGAGTGAAATATATATATATATGACGATAAATAAGGTGTATTTTTTGTCTTATATTTGAAGGATAAAAACAAAAACAAAAACAAAAAGAAGATGAAAAAGAAGACCTAGCAAACGATGAGACTCTGTGTAGGGACTCCAAGGGCCGAGGGTGGCAGCCCCTGAAGTACAGGGGCCCTGTGACTGGTACCCTGAACTCCTGGCATGAGGTCCGGGGAGCATTTCGGTTCCCAGGGAGTCAGAGACGCCTGACTATGAGGACCTGGTCCACTTATTTGATCGTCTTGTTCTTGGCTTCTATTTGTTTCTATGGCGTGGGTCCCTTGGATCCTACCCCCTCTATCCCCCACAAGTTTCTTGGTTTATTTAGGAACTTGTCTTGGGGCAACCAAAAGTTCCTGCCTCCTAACACTGTCAGTTTCTAGAGTTTTCCAGTTGCATGTGCATTTGGACTTTTGTGCATTTATGGGGGGAACAGGCTAAATGTTCTTTTCTTCTGACTTAGAAAAAGACTGTCTGCCATCAAAGAGAAACTTTGAGAGAGAAGGATACTGAAATAGATATTAATTCCTGCAAGAAGACCTCTCCCTCCATTTGGTCCTAGGACATAAGCGCTGGTGCTGGATGTAGGCAGAAATCTGGGGAAGCTAGTGTGTACCGCCCCAGGTGCAGCTCCAGGAACCCGATACAGCAACCCAGTTCTGGACCTAGCTTGTGGCATCTGCACATCTGGGTGCATCTGCCAGCACCCCCACTTTGGAGCGTCCAAAAGGAGGTTGTGGCACAGTGTGGCCAGTGAAATCCTTCAATGGGACTGGGATGCTGCTGGTTTGGGTTTTGGCTTTGAGCTGGCAGTTTTGCTGAACTCAGAGCAGCCATTCCCGGAGTGTTCACTTTTGTTTGCTGCTCTTGGATCTTCCTCTCTTTCCTCTTTTCTCTCTTGAAGATGCTTCTCATTTCTACTCTTTCTACTCCTCTCCTGTAGACCCCTTTCCTTCCTCTCTAGTGGTCTGTCTCCCCCCTCCTCCTTGCTTCTCTCCAGTGTCTCTGAGCGCGCTCTCTCTCTCTCTCATACACACACACACACACACACACACACACACCCTTTTGGATTCTTCCTCCTCCTCCCCTGGTTGCCACAAGGCTAAGGCAGTGGGTGGCTCTGGCTGCATTTTCAAGGTTGGTGACTGGGGTCCCCCAGTGGTGAGAAAGGATGGAGAAGATGGTATAATTTTATGGAACAAAAGAAAAACAAAATCAAGCTTTGGGTCCCCAACCAGCTCAGCCTTCTCTCTTAGGAGCCTGAGTCTGAGACCTTTCTAAGCAGATCTGTCTTTCCACCTCCCCCATTTCTCCTTGTGGCTTTCTTATCCCTAAAAGGGGAGTGCCCATCACCTGTCACCTCTCTGTGCACACCTCCCTTCCCTAGCTGGCTTTGGGCAGAACTGCTGAGCTCTTCATCTACCATTCAGAAAGAGCAATTGTTCTTAAAGAGCCTCTTATGCTCAGAAAAATAATCACAATTTTAATTAAAAAAACATTTGAGACAATTCATTTAATTTTAGTACCTGACTTGTTTTGCCTCCCCCCCTCAAGGCCCCCAGAAAGCTGCCTTGGTGAGGTCGCTGGCCTCTAACTGGACACTCACAGGGCAAGGAAGAGGCAAAGGCTTCCATGCCAACAGCTGGCTCTGCCTGGGAGGTGGGGGGGTGGAGCTAAAAGGAATCTCTACTCAGGCTCACACAAAGCAACATCCAAGTTGTTTCAGAGCAGAGAAGGAAAGAAATCCTCTCACTAACCCCTGTGTGTTGGTGGTCAGGTGGGAAAGATGTGGGAATCACTTGGGGAGCTAAGCTGGGGCACTTGCTCATATCGACACTTGCAGTTGTCCTAACCTTGGGTCAGAATGTATTCCTATTAAATAACATTTAGCAGCTGTCTGTGGTTTACAAATCACATTTCACGTAGACCATTCTTTTATTCCTAATGGTGGCTTTTGGAAGTCCAACCCCATTTTGAAGATCCACATACAGGATTGGAGCAAATGGTTTGCTCAAAATCACATGGCAATTCCCAGGCACAAGATCATGAGCTCTCTATAGGTCCAGGTTCTTCCTCTTTTGGATTCTGTCTCCCTCTCTCCTTCTCTTCCCCTCTTCCCTCCCTCCATCTGTCCCTCCCTCCCTCCTCCTTCCCTCCCTCCCTGTCCAAGGTGTCTCACTCATCCTACCTTTAACTTATCTGCATCCATATCTGCTAACTCCCATTTCCCAGTCTTTTTCTACTGTGACAGCTGCTGAGGTTCACCTGGTACCTTTATCAAGGCATGTGAATTTCTCCCGGCCAGTCTCCCACCTTGCTCCTTCACTCCCCTCAGGAACAGCTTCTTTAAACCCCTTAACCTCTTTATACTTCCTCTAAAACAAACAAACAAACAAACAAACAAAAACCCTTTTTTAAAAAGTTGAGGTACAACATCCGTGCTGTAAGCTCCCTGTGGTAAAGAACATAAAACATAAGCATACAAGTTGGTGAATCTTCACACACATACACACTTGTTCAATGAATTCCTTTAAGCTTCTTCTACATGATGACACAGTGTCTTTTTCCGGTTTTGAAAGAGGTGGCATCTTAACTGGTAGGCTTTTGTTCCGTAGAAAACCTTTTCCAAAAGTTTAGAAATCATGTCTCTTCCAATCCCCTGACATCTTGAGTTTAAGTAACTTAACTTAAATAGCTGATCAGAGCTTAAAAATTGCTAGAAGCTTTCTGAAGATTCAACCTGAAGACCAACTGCTTCAGAATCATCTGAAAACAGGCTAAAAGGCAGATTCCTAAGCTTCAACTCCACTTGAGGAATCACAAGCTCTGGATTGAACTCAGGAATGTGCATTTTAAACAAGTTTCAAAGTGATTGTCATTGCACTAACAATTGAGAACCAGTGTATAAATGACAAGTCCCCAAACAGCAGCCTGCAGCCTGCAGCCTCTAGCCCAGGGCCTGGCATTTGGTAGCAATACAACAAATGCTTGTTGAACAAATTAATTCACTTTTCTGACATGGTTTGAGTTTCTTGGACCACATCATACTATTGTAATTTAACACCACTTTTTACATTGGGAAATTCTTACATTTGGGAGGTTTTTGTTTTGTTTTGTTTTGTTTTTTGGTTTTTTTTTTTTTAAACTGGAATATTTTTCATCTTGATGGAGCAGGAGAGGAAAGAGGGATCAACTTTGGTGGTTTCTCAGGTTTCAGGGGTCTTTTATAAATCTAACTTTGACCACTTTGCTGAGGAGACTGCTTCCCTCCAGAGCTGGTGGTTTGGAAAAGGTAGGGGGTGAGTCTACAGGTTTGCTGAAAGGCACTCAGACGCACCCCTCTCTTGGTTGGAAACTGACATGGAGTGGGAATAAAGCAGAAAATCACTTGGGTAATCTCTGATTTATATTCAATATGAAATGTATTTTTCGTTTAGAAGCATATTTGCTTAACTTCTCCCACCCCC